GTCTAAGCTGTGAGAAGTGTTGGGTAATTGCTTGAAATATGTAAACAGTATGGTAGTTCAAAGTCGACGGTGCAGGACCGAGTTAACTAGTTTGTATGCATTTTTTATAAAAATATCCATATCCATAATAGACTCAGTTTGAGCGTGTTTATTTCTTTTCCTCAAAGTCTTAATGAAATGTCTAATCTACTATCACAAATTTTTAAATACGGTTCTGCCTAAGCCTGGCCAATCAAATGCTGTCTGACAATTGTCAACTAGCTGGCCGACTAGTAGCACCCTGTAGGGAGTGATATACTCCAAGTAGTAGGCGTATAATCCACAATTTTTGTAAATAAAATTGTTTTAATATGTTTTATTGTAATAGAGATGCCCTATTACATACTAAAAACTCACCCTATATGTCTAATTTCTTGAGCAGTTACGTCGCTGAGTAGCTTGTGCATTTTTTAGGATTTTGCTATATTAATCAGTACAAAGGCTTTTGGCTACTATTTCACATTTAGACTTGCACTTTTTGGCAACAAAAAAAAACAAATTTTGAAGGTGTTTTCATTCCATTTCCAGTTGTTCAATAGACTTATTTATAACTTTGAGGTTTGATAAAAAAGTTACCTGGAATTTTTTATTTGGAGATGAGGGGCCTTAGCATTCACATTAAAGAATATATAAATCCTTCTGTACAACTTCTTTTACAAACGGGTTTACATTTGGCTAGTTAGACTGATCAAATGAGTTTTGTGACGTTTCTAAATCAGCAGTTTCCCGATTTTCCAATGCAGATTCAACTCCAGATATTTTCGAATTGCACACCTCGTGATGTGTTTGGAGTTATACAAAAGTGACTGGATGTTTAGAATTTGAAAAACGAGTTTTGGCGGATTTCACAGTCTTTGAATCCTTCAAATGAACTCCTAACCACGTCTTAAAATATATCAACAAACTAAGTTTGACTTCTTTCTGATATTCGTCTCCTCTAAGAACATTTTTTATTGCGTTCAAAATCATCAAAAATGAAAAAAAAAAACATTAAGTCAAGTTTGGGGAGCTGTAGATTCTCTGATCATAGTACAGATGCCATTAGACAGGCCTTATTAAAATTTCTTCAAAATCAAGTGAAACTTTCCATCTTATAGAAGGGCCAATGATTAAATTAGTTCTTTTTTGACTGTTACTCAAGCACAACGGGACCGATTAACAAAAATTATAAATGTTTTTCTGTCTGTAATATAGGACGAACGCCACAAAAAATGTACCTACAGGATGTTATATCTGAAAATTATTCTTCCATTTGAAGTTTTTTTGCTATAACAGTAATTCTCTGGCCTGACTTGGCTGAAGAAATGTGTACCCAGTTTGAATTTTGATTGATTTGTTAGCCCAAAAAATAGGTATACATAATTTGAGGTATTGTATCAAACATGTGCCATACAATCTCAAGTGTTGCTTTCAACTATTACTTGAATGTTTCAGAAAAGTAATCCTAGTATTTTTCCATAATCATACGAATTGTCGAATTATCGTGGAACTCTATATAAATGGATAAAACAATGAAATGCAAATAGAAAGAAAAATATCGAGCATAGTTAGGTAGTTATAATTTGAGGAACTTCCACCAACAAAATTTTTCAAGCCTCCCTTCCGGTTTGAGCTGGGTAAGCAGTGGGGTGGTGCCACCAAGAGCAAGCAACCGAGAGTAGCTCTGCTCATCTGTCTGTAATTTGTGGAAAATTGAGGATATGAGGATCTCATTATTATTACTATTATGGAAAATTTGGGTAAAGTCTATAATTGTCTGTTTACAAACATTTTGAGCAATTCCAGTAAGCTATTCTCTGTTAGTCATCAATGATAAACGATTTACTATGGCTAAGTAGTTACGTAAGACACACCAAAACGCATTATATTCAAATTTTCAGACGTCTGACACGTGATGGTTACCATATTTAACTGATGATTCCTTGTGTATTTAACCCAGGAAATATCAGGGTCATGGATTTTTAATTGAACTTCCTATTACACTTTGCATCGCATGAATCTATTATAATAAAGCAAGTTTTCTAAGGTTAGGGTGCTGCCGAGTGCACTCGACTAATGCAGTTGGACATTTATAGCATTATTTGTAAATAAAAATAACAACGACAAAATTCATAAACCAGGAAACATAAAAAATAACATGACAAGGTGTCGTCCAAGTGTTTAAGTGGGAATTCCTTTTCATAGTATACTTATCCAATGATGCACAGAATTATGAGCCATCCCTTTTTCTAAGGTACTCTTATTTTAGTTGTACAGGGTGGCCAACTAAGAATGCAAAGTACTATATTTGGGAACCTATCCGTCGTACAGGCTTGCGGCAAAACTGCCAAGAGAAAACCTGGATAATATGTTCCAGTGTCTGAAATGGTTGCTAGGGGGCGTAACTGCAATCTTGAATCTAAAAAAGTGATGCCGCTATATTAGCCTAACAAATAAAAATCAAGTCGAATATAATGTGGACTTGTTTGTTTGACAATTTTTGCTGTATCTCTAAAATTAAAGTGGTGGGGGTATTCACAGGTTTTCGTAAAAAACACCCTGTATCTTCGAAACAGTTTAGCCGATTTCAACAAACTTGGGCGAGTTGAAAAGAGCTATTCTTGGGCTACAAGTGTTATAATATTTGAAGTTTTGTTAGTTCCATCATATGGCCGCTAGTGGGCTTTTTTAGACATTCCGACAGAAATGCTTAATATTGTCAAAGAAATTAAATGCATCGGCATTGGCATTGCTAACTAGTATTCGGAAATTTTAAATTGATCCTAAAATTAATTTAGAGATTGGTTGTTGAAGAAAGATTATAATTTTGTTTGGGCCTAAAGTCGCACGATTTAATTTTGTTCACAGTGTGAGCCGCGGCCTTGTGTGCTTGCGAACTTGCTCGAGTGTGATATCTACTAACTCGCGCAACAGAGGGTTGCCATGCGATGCCGCTTGACTATAACTTCTATTCGTCATTATCTGTCAGAGCGGTGAATAGGACCTTTGCTCTTGGTTAAAGTCTTGTAGGTCAGTAGGTCTGGATGCCAGATACCAGACAAAGTCGGGGAGAAAGAAGGGAAGAAGAAAGGAAGAAGAAAGGAAGGAGGAAGAGCAAAGAAAAAATAAGTGCGAGGGGTGCCTTGGCATTGCTAATTAGTATTCGGTAATTTTAAATTGATCCTAAAATCAATTTAGAGATTGGTTGTTGAAGAAAAATTATAAAACTAAAGTCGCACGATTTAATTTTGTTCACAGTGTGAGTCGCAGCCTTGCGAACTTGCTCGACGGTGTAGTCTGCTTAACTATAACATATGTAGCTGCGCCTGGTTATGTTCTGCAAACTACGAATATCCGTTTTGGCGAGGAAACACCATGCTGCACATGCATAAGTGATTGCTTGTCTAATCACCATCTTGTATAGCGAAACTTTTTGATCAAACTTAATTTCGAGGCTCTACATAGCATATGGTAGAGTTGTAGAAGCGCAATTTGGAATTTGGTTTTCAACGCTTCAATGTATCTCTGTCAAGACATCCCCTCGTCAAGAATAACACTAAGATACTTGACAGAATTTTCCCATGGTACACGAACTTCATTCACTGAAACCTCAGACAGGCGCCGCTACGTTCGTTAAGATGCGTTTAGCTCTGAGCACGCACGCACTGATCCACCGCGAATGCTCAAGTGTAAAAAGATATACACACACGCTCACCCTGTATCTTCATGTGCATGAGCAACAGCGAATGCGATCCGCCTGTTGTCGGTCTCAAGACGTTGCTCAAAGGAATTAATGGGTTCGTGAAAGCTCAGTATAGACGAAAACGGCAATGCGGCGCACAGGATTGTATTTAGTCCAGTAAATGATGAAATGGAATAATACTAAAGTTCTGAAACTCTTGAATGAGTTTGAGAAATTTTTCGGTACTGTGGGATGTTAGGCACGAAGAGTATTATTCAAAATCGAAAAAAATGGTGCCGTCATCTGGGGTAAAGTCGAACGTTTTTTGCATATTTTTTTGAATAAATTTTTGTGATCACATGGAAAAATTAAAAAAAATAAGTCACGTACCTCAAACGATTCCAAACAAGATTCTCAAAAAAATCCAAAAATGTCCCCCTTTTCCATTTTTTTATATTGAAGGGTGTCCTCCTTTACCCCTATGTGTGGGGTAAATCCGGACACCCAATTATTTTAATGCAAAAATGCATTTTGTCGCTTTTTGGGGTACCTACACTCGGACATAAGAAAAAGAAAATTATATAAATTTAATTCTGGCAAAGTTACAAAACTAAAAAAAAAAACAATTTATGTATCAAGTTTTTTATTCACATTCTAAGGAATAAACTTAAAAAGCAAACACATAATAAATCTAAAAGTTAACAGACTGCACCTAACTAAAAATATCATTTTCCTATTTTAGTAAAAGAAACCTAAGAATAATAAACTTACTGAATAAAAAATTTCAATAAAATTTTTTTTGATAAATTTCTGCATTCAATTTTAATATTTTTAAGCGTTTTCAAGCTGGAAAATTGAAAACGCTCACGTCTTAAATCTTTTACTTGTCTTAAAACCTTTAAAATTTGAGGAGACTCTGCCAAGCTTTGGTATTTAATATTAGGGTATACAAAATAATCCCATTTTTTCGGAATTTTGCTTTCTTAAGAAATTTGCATAATAAAGTTTTTCATTGGCGTCTACAACGTCAGAGACACATCCAACAAAGTATTTGAATGTGTTATTTGGACAGGCAAACTTCACTAACAAAAAATTGCCTGGTTGGATACAATCTAAATTGATCTGATTATGTAGATCAGCTTCGGGTTCACCACTGAAATTTCCCTCTTCTCTTACCGCCACCATTCGATAGGACCATAAATTCAGGTTCAGAGTTGTCACTGATTTCTTCAAAATCTTTCGCACTTATAGACTTTCCCGGTGCCACTTTTATTTTTTTTCCTCTTTTTGGACGTTCAACCTAATCTGCTCTCCTTGAGAAATTCTTTCAAGGTTTGCACCCAACGCACTTCGCTCTCACTTCTATCCATTATTGGATCTACTCGTAAATCAGGTAAAATTCGGTTTAAAACTACATTAGCGTTCAGTGGGACAATGCCGCAAGCTTTAAAACCAGATTTAATGTTATTTTCGGAATTTTCAATGCCGTCAATTCCGCATCTTCCATTCCAATAAAATCTTACGCCATTGTTTTTTCATCGGTGCAAAATATGCCACATCTAGGGGCTGTAAGAGGCGAGTTTGGAAGAAGTACAAATTGGATGTTATAATTTTGACAGCATTCCAAAACCTGCATAGAAGTGTGGTTTCGAAAGTAAGGAAGTAAAATCCTGTCAAACCAATCTTCAAAAGCAGGACCATCAAACCAGCGACTTAGTTCGATTGTACATGCTACCATCAGGACCTCCCTCTATCCAGGTTGGATATAGATAAACAGATTTATAGATTACATATGGGGGTAAAAATTGTCCTGCCGCTGTTATTGTCATGATAACTGAGGTGCTAGATTTACTTGAATCAATTATATTCTCAACCCGCTTCGGAACCACGGCGGCATAAAACTTTTTGTTTTCTAGGGTCATCTGTCAAATTGGTTTCATCATAATTCACGATATTCATGAGTTCAACTCCCTCTAAAGTCAGTTCTAAATTCTCAAAATAGGATTTTACTACCGCCTTGGTTACATTAGCCCTGTATCTCTTTATATTTTGTGCAAATCTCTCAGTCAAAATTTTGTTTCTACCGACAAAGTTATAAAACCACTCAATCCCAAGCATATTGTCCTTGAACTGGGTTATTTGTTTACCTTTTCTATTAAGGTAATCCTTTACCAAGCATCTTATATCCCAACGAGTCATAGGAAATCCCCACTCTGCAAACTGAGTGATTCCTTCTGCGAATATTTTTTCCTCTTGTTCTGAAAGTTTGGTAGGTGCACCATGTTTTCCAGCTTTTTGTCTCACGAGTTTTTCGGATAGAGTGGATTTTGGTATTCCATAGTACTCTGAAGCACCTCTTAGGGATTTTCTTTTGTTCCGAATGTCCTCCAGAGCCTGCTAAATTTTTTGTGGTTCATAGTTCATAAATTTGACGCCGATTTTTTTTATAATGCCTAGCCTGCTGTCCGCCTTTACCCCACCTATAGACAATTTTTTACAAATTAATTGATAGAAAAAACAACAACAAAGAAAATGGAAAAACTTTATGGTGCATATGGCTAAGCATAAACCCCTGCCTGTTTAAGATAGGTAGTTCCGATTGTAATATTTGGCATAAATTATGTACAGAGAGGTTTTTTACGGTATTTTAATATTTGCAAAAACAAACAACTTTTTATAAATGCCGTAACTGTGCTCACAAACAACAACAATCAAGTCGCGTGCTCTATTAATGCTTACTATAGCCGTACTGACACGAATCGACAGGCGTACCGCGCAAAAAATGTTAGATGCAGAAGTGGGGAGATATGTACTTGTGTTCGCCTTTACCCCTACTGTCCGCCTTTACCCCAGATGACGGTGCATGGAAACAACAGTAATCAATTGTAGCATTAAAAATGTATACTGTTGCGAAGCACAGAACAAAATTAAAAGATTGTTGGGATCATTTCGTCTCGAAAAAAAAGCAAAATGAAGATTTTAACACTCTGAAAAGACACTGCAAGCTGCTATAGGAGTCTCCAGTTGCCAAAAAACGCAAGGTTATGGCTAAACGTTTTCTTAGTGATATAGATTTTCTAAACTGTGTATCAATATTATTATCAATAATATTATATTATATTACGACTGCAACGGACTACAGAATATATATTTTCATATCTTTCTAGCAGTGTTGCCGAACCTACCAATGTTTTAGCATTTCTGTGAATAGGCTGATCTGTGCTGTATACAGTGTATTTAATTAACAAGGTATCCCCCATATGATAATCTGCTGCGCTTGAGTAAATCCCAAAATTCTCTCTTGGGCTCCCCTACTATTAGCTTTCAAACTACCTATGTATATTTATAAAAATAAGTTCATACCGTCGGATATACCGCAATCAGCGATGATACTCCTCCAAGCTGCTTCTTTAATCTAATTATTTTTATACTCGTTCGAGTCTACCTTCTATAGACATGGATGTTTTCTTACACTTTGAATAAAATACTCCATTTTGTCTATTGCGAATTCCGAAGTGCAAGAACAAATAATAAAATAGCAACATCGCGCCAAGCCGGCCGCCAGCAAGAGCGGATCGTGGGCATTTACGGGAGACGCGACGCAAGAGGGGAATAGATATAGCGCAGAATACCGCAGGGCAAGCATATCGTGACATATATTATACGTAATATCGCTGGGAGGCAAATATATCTTATAGCGTCCATGCGTGGCGTCTCAATAGGTTTACAGATGGAGCGATATTTCTGTAATATGCAGGATATAATATATATTATATTATCGCTCACCGTCCGTTGCCAGCTTAATGTAATTGTGCTATAAATTATAGGATTTGCGGATGATTTATCGCAGACAAGTTCAGATATTTATCTTAAAAATCTAGACATATTTATGATCATTATTAGAATATGAATCAAATCCGAAGCCCGTACATATCGCATCCCTACATTGTAGGATAATCACAATAAAAGTCATTCAATAGCCCTATATGGCGATTTGTCATATAAATGTGTATGAAATTCACAATAGCTGATATGTAAGTAAACAAGGTGACTGTAATAATTATGTTAGTTGTATATTCTTCACTTCGCCTGTGCAATATATCAGAAATAGTTAGGTTGCAATAAAGTAGAATCACGTACTTAACAGAATGGTGGTATAGTTGACAAAAATTGAATCTTGCACTGACGCTAATATTCTTAAATGACTGAAGTTTCCTGTTAGATGTGCCCATTCTGCTTGTATGTATATCTGTTCTAAGATCGTTTTACCAAGGCTCTTGCAACATACAATGCTGTGTAGGAAATACTTTATAATCGTTCTTGCAACCCTAATAGGAGTAATAATTGTTAGTTGGCAAGTTTTATATACAATACAAAACACATCATCAAATTGAAAAATAAAAATTTATTTCAAACAAATGATCACATTCTAGACACGCAAATATTGCGTTTGGAGGAATTTCATAAACACAACAGTATGGAAGTAAACTATAATGCCATAGTATATCAAAATAAATAAACAAATTCAATCATAATCCAGAGAATCGGCACGCTTTCACTGGAAAAGTAAAAAAAAATTGAAAATGGTAATATTCATGCAAATAACTTATATTTAGATATTTGCATTTAGAAAAAATACTACCATGCACGTTTTTATTCCATGCAAATACTATCAGATTGTCCAATGTGTTTTCCAAGTATTTTGGATTATGATGAAACACATGGTAATAAAAATGAAAATAATCTAATGACTAGTTACAAAAATAATATACCCCACACTACCACAATTTTTGTGCTTTTAAGGAAATGTTTGGCACTTTTCCTGGTGAATTAAAAACAATTTTCTCCTCAATAAGTAGGATATTATGTATATACATAAACATTCTATTAGTTTGCTAAGTTAACTAAATAAAAATGGAAAGTAGACAAAATATGACATAATAAATAGCGTACATGAAAGACAATATCGATACAAATGCGAAATATAACACTTTTGGCCAATTGTTTTAATATCGATTCAGAACAAACACAAAACACGACCAAGTTGGTTTTAAATCTTACAACAATACGAGGTAAATTCAGAAAGTAATAGCTGTTTGGGCTACGATCATTCGGGGAGATGATTAGTGAAAAAACCGTTAAAGATACTTATGCAGTATTTCCCCAATTAACCTGGTTCAACATATTTTGTCAATGATAGTTTTACTTGAAATGGTTAATATTAATGCAAAAGTTGTAGCCATAAGAATGTAAAAAGTTCAACTTCAAGTTGTTGTGCTGGTAACAAAAATAATGAGGTGCACTTTGTATGAAGATAATGTCACCTTATACCCAAACAGATGTTACATGGTGAATTGCCCAATTTTTAAAATAAGTAGTTACTGGGTAAGATCCTAGTATCTTTTCGTGTGAAATATTCTGGCTAGAGACACAATACCATATGATCATTCACAAAACTGAGTGTTTCTTTAAATAGCTCTTTACACTGTCAGCATTGTTTTATTTATCAATCTATGTTATCAAATAATTATATAATTCATATTTCGTTATTTCAGCAATTGTATTTTTCGTTAGAATACCTCCTTATAAACAAGTGGACAGTTGCTTTGCAACATGGAAAATTTTACCCTAATTCAAATCTCAATATTTTCGGAACGAAAAGAGATTTGCGATATTCGGGAGGTTCTTGACCAACTCTTTGAGAACACATACAGGGTTCGGTCGGTATATCTCTCTAATTTATCCACTTATACGGGGAAGTCATCTTTCTTAGCAAAGTTGGGGCTATCAGATTCTCAGTTTGTGATGGTGGAAATTTTTCTATGTATATTTTTGATCTTTGAACTTGTCTGAAAAAAGTAATTTGTCAAATTTTTCGAAAGTTGGCTATAACTCAAATTATCGAATTAAGTCCCTAAAAAATGGACTTTTTGGGGGTTTCTCTTGAGAATGGGTATTTTTTCTCATACTGTTGCATAACGTAGAATTTCTTGTGTCCGAGAAAAGATTGAAGCACATTGTACGTTATTGCCTAAAACATTCCAGATAAAAGATGCATAGCAATGTACCGAACCAAAATATGCTTTTGGTGTTACGCCACTGGAATACACCCCTATATTAAGAGTAGTAACTTAGATTTGTTCCTTAAGCTGTTTAATTGCACAGCAAAATTTTATAAACTCTGTTTAAATTACATAATGTCAAAGTAGCAAATGTTTACTGCACGCCGCTGGAGGCAATAGCGTTTAATGTGTGCTTCAATCTTTTCTCGGGTGCAAGAAATTCCACTTCATGCAACAGTATGAGAAAAAATACCTATTCTCAAGAGAAACCCCAAAAAAGTCCCTTTTTAGGAAAAATTTTAGATATTATTTTATTTAGGATAGTCCAAAGATCAAATCGATGCATAGAAAAATTTCCAAGATCAAAAATTACGAATCCGACATAGCCCAACTTTGCTAAAAGAACCTAACTTCCTTTGCTCACACTGTATAAGTCGATAAATAAAAGAAATATACCGGTCGAACCCTGTACATGTTCTCAAAGAGTTGGTCAAGATCCTCCCAAATACCGTCACTCGATATCTCTTTCCGTTCCGAAAATATCAAGATTTGAGCAACTGTACATGAGTTTATGTCCATAAATACTGCAGATTATGACTGATATTTTTATTGATGCGAAAAAACATAACTGGTAGAACATTTTGGAACGGCTTTGAAAATTTATAAGATACTTCATTAAGTTTATGAAACTAAAGCTTTCAATTATCTTTACATATAAAAATTCATAGAGTTGAAATGATTTCTCAAAAAAAGTTATGGGTACTTTGTAATTAAAATGACTGAAATTATATTACAGAACAAGGATCAGTTGTATACCGATTAAATATTATTTTATATTCTTATAGATCATTGCAAACCTCGTTCATATACATTTACTCTTACAAATATTACTAATCTTTCTTTCCAGCAAAAGAGTCTATTATTGTGAATGTCTTCTAAAATAGAAGTATTAATAAACGTTATTGTATGTACACTAGTACATGTTTCTGGAAGGTTTTATGAGTATATTTGAATTTGATTTAGATCTACTGCCAAAGTATACGCTGTAGTGAATCACTTTAAAAGTGTCGTTTTAATCACAAGTATTTTTGGTATACGCTGTAGTGAATCACTTTAAAGTGTCGTTTTAATCACAAGTATTTTTGTTTCTTCCAATATGATTGTTCAGAATTTATTTACATGACCGAACAATAATTCACTTGTTTTTTAAGCATAGTTACGCGTGTTAATGTGTTTTCAAGGCAGTTCTAAGTCCACAATTATTATAGGATTTCATACAAATAAATTCCTTATTACAACAGCCAAAAAAAGGTAAATAGTAAAATTATTATATATCGAAAATGTCAACGATTATATGAAATTTTATTGGTTATTTACTGTCCTGAACTTTGGAAAACATTATTTTGAAATGATAAATGCATGCAAAATATGGTTAACAAGGAAAAATCCGTGAGATAAATCATGTTATATGGTTAAAATGCGACATGAAAAATAAGAAACCTATGTGGCATTTCTTTTGCCGGAAGGTTACATTATGCTGCAATATCTCCAGGCTGAATAAATATAAAAAAATATGTACCACCCAAATATATCAATCTCCTACAAATAAAAAGTAATTGTTTTATTATAATATTTTTTTATTCAGTTAATAAACTTGTACTTAGCCTTATTCATTTATGAATATACCAATCGAAGGTGCTTATACCATTAATTTAGAGGTTTTTCCTATAGTAGTTTAGCCCTATCAACATATGTGGCAAGATATTTTCTTCTAAACGGCTTTGACGATGGTAATGGAATGGGTATTTCTAAGCTTAATTACTTATATGTAGATCAATGATATCTTGTAAAAAATTGTTATCGCAGGTATGAACCTTTTGAAGACCAACATAAAGAAAAATATTCTTATAAAACTTTCATTCTCAAAAAGGAGCTTACTTCTTTAGTTTAAATTATGCGATAAGCTTCTATGTTCAACATTTAACAACTTGCCAATTATCTTACTAACTTCAAAAAATCTCAAAAGGTAATCGGTAAAACAAATTCACACATTAGTTTCTACTGTCTGTTGATGAAAATAAAATCAAGGAAATTAAAAGTTGGTTAAAATAAGAATCACGCTTAAGACACCTTATATTGGCATAAGTCAAACTAATGTTCTTAGAGACTGAGATCCTGAATTTTTGTTGTAAACTTGCAATCATTCAAGAACCCTTGTCAATGATTTTACTTAGAAAAATGTTGGAGTCCAACTCAGGCTAACCTGGAATCACCCTAAATAGAAGATTTCTCCAACAACATTTCAGTATATACGAAGCTCTTGTCTCTAATACCATGTACCCTTAAACGTTTATCATATATAAAATTGACAAGACATAATTTGCTGTATCAGTACCAAATTGGACACAATAGTACTCAAACAATAAGTATCTTTGTTTAAAATCCAATCAAGTCAAAAAATACATGACGTGTTGGAAATCAACAAAATATTGTCTTAAAACATCAGTTGACGATACAGAGGGTGAGTTTTTAGTGTGTGGTTGGTCAATAGGTTTGTTATTATAAAAGATATCTAATAAATTTATCTATAAAACTTATAGGCATCTATATGCTCCTTACTTGGAAAATATGCCGCTTAACATATAGATTCATAACTATTTGGCAACACAAATATGCACTTTTTAAATGGAGCATCCCAGATAGCACAGAACGTCTTAAACACGACCGTTTTATGCACTAATAATGTCTGAACATCTGAGATATTGAAAAGACGCCTTTAAGATGCCCTTGGTGCGACGTTTTTAAGAATACCCTGACACGACATAAAATAAACATCTTCAAGACGTTTTCTTATGACTTTTAGAAACTGTGTATAACATTTCTGGAATTCAGCTTCTTAAAAAGTTTGAAATAAATATATATATATATATATATACATATAAGAAACCTCAATCCTGAACATCTAACTTTAAAGTAGGTAACAGAACATATTTTTTCGTTTACCAAAACACGATTGAAACTTTTTTAAGACTAATATATTTTTTAACCAATTTCACGTCTTTAATATCTTAAAATAACGTTTTTAAAACGTCTTTAAGATATAGTTGTGCTATTTGGGATCCGGTATATTTCGAAAGGCCTCTTCAAAAGAGGTAGTCTAATATAGTTTAAAAGCCATCATTGAAATTACTGCCCATCGACTAAAAATCCCTTCTTTCCACGGATCATGTAATTAATTTTGATTTGTAATTGCTAGGAAACTTCAAATATCTCAAAAATGCAGATATTTAATTCCTCAAAAATTGTATACAAGATAAAGTTTAAGTTTAAGTATAAAAATGAAAAAGCTGCATCACTGAAATAACACCGCACGTACTATCTGCCTCAAGAGAATTGAAGGAATATGGTTCTTGGGCTCTAATATGAAATTTATTAATTGAAAATATTGCTGAAGGAACGAAAAGTACTCTATGTAACACACAGACCGTAACAAAAGTTTGGAACGCAACGAATATCTGACGAATAACTCATCTAATTTTTTCCAAAATTGGTAGGTTTAGGTTCGAAACCACGGCGGATCCGTTGATGATATTGCCAAGTCTACAGTTTTTCAGAAACTGATCACTTTTGTTCTTCGTATGAAATTTATTCGATATTTGTATTCTGCGGGAAATTCTGAATACTTTTCATTAAACATACTTTGACGTAGACCTCATAGTTTTTGAGGTCACTCATTGATATTCAAACAATAAAAGCTATTTTTTCACATAAGCAATGACCTGTATCGAAAGTAATTTCCTGTCATTTCTGACACTCAAAAGTCCATTAAGTTTTGTTAGTAGAATTATTGAAAATGATTTATCAGAAACGCTTAAAATTAAATTTCAAATTACTTTCCGGCAGCTTTATCCCTTGTTAAGCAGATCTTCAAAATTGAGCTTGGTTAACAAAATTCGACTTTACAAAATGATCATCAGACCCACCATTATACATATACACCTGTGCAGCTTGGTGCTTTGTAGCGAAGATGCACATGCCAGCTCTGCAGGTCCTGCAAAACAGGACACTACGAACCATCGCAAATGCCCCATGGTATATCTCAAACGAAACCCTTCACAGAGATCTCAACATCCCTCATTTAGAGGATTACATTAAACATCAGGCGCAGTGACGTTATGAACAAGCAGAATCGCACTGCAACCCTTTGTTGCGCGAGTCAGTAGACTATACAGTGGAGCAAGTTCGCAAACATTCCAGGCCGCGGCTCGCACTGTTGACAAAATTGAATCGCGCAATTTTGTATAATATAAAATAATATTTTCACAAAAATCCAACCAAATTCTTTTTCGGCATCCAAAATTATTACAGTAATTTTCGACAATGCTCAGACGCCTTTCACACAGTTGTAGATATTTCTTACTCTTTTTTCATTCTTTTTTCTTTCAGCTTTCTATTAATCATGTCTGGTTTCTGGGTGACCAAGCCGACAGAATAACAAACTGACTGACGTACTTTGACACAAAGGCAAAAGTCCTACGAACCGCCTTGACAGACAATGACTAATAGAATAGAAGAATGATTCATTTAACTGAAAACGAGAGAATAGAAATTCTAATGATTCTGTGTTATGGCGATTGTCGACACACACAGCAAGAAGTTTGCGATATTTTTAATGACAAATATCCCAACCGGAATCCAATAACAAGGTTGGAAAAGTTTTGAGAAAATTTTTAATAACAGGGCATGTTCCACGATCTGGCCGTCCCAAAACAGTCACTGACGAAAATAAGGCTTTGAATATTTTAGTGAGCATAGCGGAAAACCCCCACCTTGCTACTAGAACACTTGATGAAGACAACAATGCATCTCACTTGCCTGTGAAACGCACATGATAGGCATGTGTAATAGAAATTAACATTTTTTGTAGGAAATAATGTTTTAGGATGAGTCAACTTTTTCTTTGAATGGTACTCTTAATCGCCATAACTGCCGCTACTGGGCCAGGGAAAATCCTCATTGGGTACATGAACATCATACACAATATACACACAAAAAAATGTTTGGACCGGTATTATAGGTCAAAAGATAATCGGGCCGTTTTTTCACGGAAGAAAATTTAAACGCTGAAAGATGGTTGCATCTTTTGAGGAATCGCGCTGTCCCACCTTTGGTGGAAATATTTCCCAATCCTGGTAACTTTTATTACCACAAACAATCAAATACATCAATATTGTTTTCTGTTAGTAAATAATACAGTGCCCAACGATAGAATATGGCTTCAACAACATGGTGCACCTTCGCATGACGCTACATCAAACATTTTTTGGAAGATGGATAGGTAGAAGATTGAATGGCCACCTCGGTCTCCTGACCTCACACACCTCGATTATTTCTTGTGGGGACACTTAAAAATGTAGTATACAAAAGCAAATCATTTGATTTGGAGCCACTAAATCAATGAATAGAAAATGGATGCAATAACTAGCTCATTGCCAAACTTATGGGCAGCAATTTAAACATTTAATATGATTTTTGTCTTGTTTTGGAGTTTAAATTAACTAGGTTTTATCGTTTTCTTGGTTTTTAATTTTTCTCTTGTTTCCTTGGAATATCAAATACACTATTTTAATCAATATTAGAATTTTTATCCTCTTGGTTTTAGTTAAATAAATTTTATTGACTCTACTAACAATACTCAATGGACTTTCCAATGTGAGAAATGACCGGAAATTATTTTCTATACCGATCATTGCTTAGGTGAAAAAAGTACCTTTTATTGATATTTCGAAACGTCTACGTCAAAGTATGTTTAATAAAAAGTATTCACAAACGGTGCAAATATCGGATAAAATGCATAGCATTTTATGAAAACAAAAGTTGTTATCAGTTTCTGAAAAACTGTAGATTTGGCAAAATCGTGGATATCATCAACGGATACGCCGTGGTTTCGAATCTACCAATTAAAAAAAAATAGAGGAGTCATTCGTCAGATATTTTAGGCGTTCTAAACTTTTGTTACAGTCTGTATACTCATTCAATTATCGCATTTTTTTATTTGAAGCCTAGCGATAAGCTAATGGAGTATTTTTAAGTCTGAACATGCTGCAATTCTCAAAAGAGCTTTCAAGGTGTCTCATGTGACAATACTGTGGGGCAATCGGTATCTGAATGGTTCAATCGTCATTAACCCTTTACTGGTATCGTCGGGTCAAAAATGGCCCGGCGTATCTTTAATTCGTCACAGATTCGGGGCTTTCGCAGTTATGTAGCGGAGGTTCCGTGACTTCTCATACAGTATACATATGGGCATATACCTCAAACGTCAGTTTAATTATATCTTATAAGAGCAAGTATTTGTTTTTTTGTTGTAAAATATGAAGACCAAATATGTTGTTTAATGGCCCATTATGTTAATTTTTTGTTCATGTTTCAGTTCAAATTTCGTAAATTATATTGCGTTACTCATTTTCAGATGCAGTATTTTTATTTGTTTTTGGACAATAAATAGTTTTCATGTAAGAGTGTTTTATGTGTAAACACCTGTTGTATACATGGCAAAAAACTGATCAGTAATGGCATTTCCGAAATTGGTAGTCACAGATTTTTTAAAAAGTATCGGATCAGAATTGACCTGACGATACCAGTTACGTAAGTAAAAATCACAATACCAGTTAAGAGTTAACTTAGGCCCATATCGTCAGTCGTCCCTACAATTGTAGGGCGCCTTTATGGCCTCCTTGATTGTCATAGTTTTCTACTTCTCCGTGTCAGCGCTCTATTTTGAGGTTATGTCACAAACATCAATTTGCATCAAATTGTGCTTGGTTTTGAGTTATATCATGTTATATCAGCCTGAAATTTCCTACAATTTAAAAGGAAAACAAAGCTTCACAGTAGGAGAGCGCTGACGCTGACACGGGACAAGTGTAATCTAGAAATTTTTGAAGGAGAGAAAGCAGTATGACAATCAAGGAGGCCATAAACGCGCCCTACAATAGTAGGGTCGACTGACGATACGGGCCTAAAGCGAAGGATCTGTCAGTTTGTTAGACGACACCGACACACTTACCGGTTTGTGCGTGACCCCACTTGCATTGTTTCTCTAGGTAGATGATATGGCAAATTTTAGCGCTGGTTTTTTATTTTTTCTGCTACGAAAATTATGTATTGTCAACCCCACAAACGCTTAACTTGGGCCCTAGTACGACTCTATCAACAACAATCTGTAGATCACAGATAAAAACATCGCCTACTGCACTTTAGACTTCAGCAAGGGATAGTCCGCCGTCACCGGTTGTTTCCTCTTCTGTTTCCTGTCACCAGCCATGTAAGCCTTGTAGAAGAATCTGGCGAAGAGCACAAAATAACTGAAGTACATCGCTATGGAGAGCTTGATATTGAAGGGCGTGATGTGACATTCTCTGTTGGTCTGGAGCAGGTGGCGCGCCCAGAAGTTCACCGCACATCCGATGATCATCTGGAGGAGTTGCAGGGAGGTGATCAGCATCGCTATTTGCCTGGGCGGATTATACCTGCAAATAACGCAAATTATTTTACTATAGTAAGAAACATCGGAGAAAACAAGCAAGTTTTTCAAAAATGGCTAGATTTACTCCCCTTCCCACGCAGTTCTGTCATCAATTAGATATGTTAGGTTTATTTTGAAACCTAACGACATATGATCTGTGATTCAAAACAAATCCATTTCTCCAGTTGCATCCTAACTACCTACACCTCAATCATGCCATTGCTAAGTAACAATAATATTGACTGTACACATGACAGTATAATTTTATTTTCTCAAAAATGCCTCGTGTTTTTCAAAAAGAACGAGAGAGTTGTATAACGTTATTGGAAGAAGGTCGTTTAGTGAATGATATAGCTTTAATTTATAATGTTGATGGGTCATCAATATACCGTTTAAGGCGTAGATATCAGGATAGCGGAAAACATTCTACTTGCATGGAGGAGGTAATCCAAAAATTTCCAACGAAACGCCGTCATCAGTTTATAAACGATTATGCGATTATGTATACAGTATGCAGTATTAAAGTCTACCATTTTACGAAATCTGGGTTTATTGTTGATCCCCTATACCGGGGATTCTCCAAAGTGGCTCACCCCTATAACTTTTTTATTATTGAAGATAGAAAAACGAAATTTGGGGCATGCGTATTATAGATGAATTTACATTTTTTGGGATATTCACTTACTTTGACTAACTTCCGGTTTGACCGGCACGCGTACCATGTATCTTGAAAAGTGACGTTATATCGATTTTTTTTACATTATACTGTTTTTTGACATTATATAGGTTTTTCTACAAGATGTTAACTTAGCACTTAGTTCTACGTGTTGCCTAAACGTCATGAGGCTTCAGTTATCATCCCATCTAAAAGATATACTTCATTGGCAGCATATTCAGAAAAGAATTTTCTCACACAGCAAATATCACTGATTTTATACACATGCAGACCAATACACATAATCATCAGATGCGATCTTGCTATTCAACCAACTTTCTTCTCAGAGATAAAAACTACAGACACGGACCACTCGGCCTCACAAAACATTTGCAACCAACAATGCGTGTAGTTTAGTTGAGTGATTCCTCCATAGATAGTGAGCAAAAGTGGAATGACTGTTTGCGCCCTAAAAACTACCTAGTCTGCAAGATGATATCTTATAGGTTTTTTTTGACGTTTTATAGGTTTTTTACATAATACCCATGCCCAAACGACTCCAACTTTCGATTTTTAAAAGGGACGCCCTATATATTTTAACTTACTTCGATCGATAATGACATTCTGAACTCAACAACGTCTCACTTGTCAATATTTGACAAAAAAAAGTCCCTACAGTCGTTTCAAAGATTTTCTAAAAGTTACAAATACCAATTTTTTCAGTTTACTCGATTTTTTCAAATAGAGAGGGCTCGTCGGCTTTTTCTAAGAGACCATTTTCTTACGAATAATTTGACACTACTCACTCTTATTTTCATTCCACTGTTTTTCTGAATAATTGTAAAAAACGATCATACCTAACAACAAATAATACGTATCTGCACTCGGTATACCTAAGTCCTATAATTCTAGTTATCCGTGACAAACAATTGAAGGTTACGGTTACGTCAACAAATACCTAATCTAGGTTATTAAAAATACTATCAGTTTCAAAAATGTATTTGTTAGGTAGTTAATTTACAATGGAAAACTATACTAGAAGCGAGAATATTGGCATGCTGTTGATTTATGGGGAAGTAAGAAAAAATGTAACTGAGGCAGCTCGAATTTATTCTCAGGGATTCCCCAATCATCGCCATCCCACTCGGCATTATTTTTCAAAACTGGAACAAAAAAATGAGAATATAACCAATGAATTTATCGTCAGTGAAGAAAAATAAATACACGTGTTGGGCTATGTTGAAGTAAATTGTACAGCGTCAATTCGGTAATTGTTTTGGAATGTGACATAAGTTAATCATCCGTCTGGAGAATTCTGCACAAACGTTATTATCGATCATTCAAGTAAAAATTACACAGACATCTTTACGTTGACGACCACAACCGCAGATTAACTTATTGCAACTGGTTTTTGACTAAACACAGAGAAGAAGTACGTTTTCCGTTTGAAATTATTTATTAAGACGAAAGTCGGTTTACCAACTTGGGTAGATATGTTCAATAGGAACGAAAAAGGTACTGGTCACCAACAAACTTACGCCTAATGCAAGAAGGAAATTTTCAAGAGCGATTTGGTTTCAATTGCTGGATGGGTATTATCGGAGGAAAACTTTTGGGGCCAACAATTTTCGACGGACGCCTTAGTGTGGAAGTATATCTACAGTTCCTAAATAATTAAATGAATGGTTTCATTGAAGATTTGCCACTGGCTAACTAAAGTCGATATATATTTTCAACAAGAGGGGCTCTACCTCACAATTCTCATGCGCTAAGAGAACATTTGAATGAAAAGTGAATTGGCACTAATGGACATATTCGAATGCCTCCGAGGTATATCCTTAAGTTGTCATATTTTTTTAGAACATCTAATTTATTTTTCATATTTTAGATCACCATATCTTACTCCGATAATTTTTTTCTTTGGGGGACAATTAAAAATCAGGTGTATAAAACTACGTCAGCTACTCGCGAAGAACTGAAGCATAAAATAAGGGCAACAGTTTAATCAATGTGGTGCAAGCAATATTTCATAAAGTTGAACTTTGCCGTGGTCAATAAGGAGACCATTTTGAACAATAAGAACCTTAATGGCATAGGATATGTATTTAATTCACTTGTATATAGTTTACTCCAACAGAGGCCCACACGGCTATTTCTTTTTCTTCACTGACGAAGTTATTCGCATTTTCTTCTGGTTCGTTGCACATTTTGTATTTCGAAAGCAATACCTACAATTGTTTGTCACGGATAACTACAATAATAGGATTTAGTGCATAGGTATACCAGGTAAGTATTATTTGTTGTTAGGTATGATCATTTCTTACAATTATTCAGAAAATCAGTGGAAATAAAATAAGGGTATTTAGTGTCAAATTATTCGTAAGAAAATGGTCTCTTAGAAAAAAGCCAACGAGCCACCCTCTTTCTATTTGAAAAAATCAAGCAAACTAAAAAAATTGGTGTTTGTAACTCTTAGAAAATTTCTAAAACGACTGTAAGGTCGTTCGCCTAAAAACCGCATTTTTCCGTGTTCCCTGACCAAAAATGAAGTGATTTGCAGGATCAAATTGAATATTTGTCAAATATTGACAAGCAAGGAGTTGTTGAATTCAAAATGTAATTCTCGATCGAAATAAGCAAAAATATATAGGGTGTCCATTTTAAAAATCGCAAGTTAGAGTCGTCTCCGGTCAAACCGGTAGTACGTCAAAGCAAGTAAAAAATATAAATTCATCTATAATACGCAACCCCCATGTTTGTCTTTGATTGAATACGTAGTAATATTATTGTTCTCTGCATTTGGGATTTGGCAACGCAGAAACGCTACCTACTTCACTCAAGAAACGCAACTATCAGCACCATCTAGAATGAAAAAAGAGGACAATCATGTTATAGGACGATTTGTATAGATGTCACCATATTTAAATTTTTTTTATTTACACTCTGAACTTTGAATTGGAAATGGGGCTCGTACTTAAACTGCTTTTATGTCTAGTTTGTATTCGTCTTTGATCCGTCCAGTTAACGCCATAAATATGAGCTTTAGAAAAAGGAGTGAGGAATAGACTTCCCAAATTTTATTTTTAAATACCAATTTATAGTGAAAGTTTTGTAATTAAATCAAGAATGTATGAGAAATAGTAAATGTTTTTAAGTTTTGAGATTTAGGGGATATAGGTACAATATGTTTAATTTGTTCCTGTACCTTATTATATCGTATAATTAAAAATAAATTCTAAATTCCGTCTTCTATTCGCTTTTATTTTTGCAATATTATATAATGCCAGTAACAAACATATCGGACGCTGGAGACATCGTATGATAGCAAGTTTATTTTAACCATTCTGTCAAATTAGAATTCGGAACTGTTCAAAATTACAAAGCTCAAAAAAAATTCGCGATGATTACTATCAATATGACTTCAAAGCATACATGTTTAAAACATATATCACGTCATTAATTGCGTACCTCTTAAACAGCCAATTGAGTAATCAAAACAATAATGTAAATGCAATTATAAATAAATATATGTTGTCAGCCATTATCAGATTTTTTTTCATCATTTGATGAAATAAATCACGCGGTATAGGTACCAGAAAAACTACCAACTGCCAATATGATACAATTATTTATCGCAAAGGCAAGTTTAAATTAAGAACTGTTGAGCTGCCATTTAAGTACCTATAGACTAGAATTAAAATTGATAGATCCATGAACATTGATCATTGTACATTGTACAGGGTGGCCAACTAAGAATGCGAGGAAACCTATCCATCGTAGAGGCTTGCGGCAGAAACAGTTATTACTAAAACGGTCAAGAGAAAAACCTGGAAAATATTGTCAAGTTTCTGAAGTGGCCGCTAGGGGGCGTAACTGCAATCTTGAATCCAAAAAAGTGATATTTCTGTGAGCTGCGCTATATTAACCTAACAAAAATTATTCCTGATCAGAAACGGTTAATTTCCTCAAAAAAAAAATGTATTGGTATGATTTTTTATAAAAAAGTAGCTAAATGATGTCTAAACAAGCTCGCGAAAACCGCATCTGGATATCATGTTCCTAATTTAAAATTTAGGCCAAAGAAAATTTTACACCGGTATCTCTTTTATTTTTCAGAATAAAACCACCCTTTTTGAAAATATTACATAATATCGCTAAATAGTAAGTAATACTAATAACAAAAGGCTTATTTTTTTGTTTATATGCATATTCATTATGGGTATAACGTATATCGTAAAAGTTTTGTGACAAAATTCATTGACTTTAATTTTAAAAAACACAAAATAATATCAAGTTGCCTTTGGAAGCAAACTGACAGTTGACATTCATTTATTTTGAAGTTTTCGCTT